GACAGGTTCAATATTAACGATAACACACACACACACACACACACACACACACACACACACACACACACACACAAACCCAAACTGTGTATATGTAAAAATTCAACTGAAGGAAAGAAGATAAACTGAAATTACAACACAGGAAGTCTGACAAGCAGTGATAATATACATTATGAGATAATTAGCCATATGTTTTCCTGTAATTGCCTCTATCTCATTGTTTTAACATTAGAAAAAACTAAAGATTAAACTATTTTCTTCTGTGCTTTGCTTTTTAATAACATCTAGCTTCAGTTAACATGAGTGAGTCATGATACCAGGATACTTCCTTCAAAGACTGACATAGGGAAAGAAAAGTTGTATCTTATGCAAAACACACCAAGAATACTTGAAATCTGCCCATTAAATTATTAACTTACCAGTAGCTAATTTGTTTCTGATGTGAAATCAAACTTATTTTAATGTACTCCCAATACCAGAATACATGTTTCAGTTTCCTCATACCCCTAAATAAATGTGCTTTTTAACATACACAGAAAGATAACATGCATGTGAATGACCTCAGTATCACATCTGCCGATATAGACAACTGTGATGCTCATTGTATCTCCGTTAGTTAAATAACTTTTAAATAACTATTCTGCTATCTCTGTCTGGGGGAAAGTGGCAGGCTGGATAAAACCTTTAAAAAGCCCAGAGGGATCAGGATCTGTTTCAAAACTAGCCTAAATAGTCCACGTTTGCCTATATATTCACGTATTATCCATTTGTGAGAATTCTATTCCTGTTATTAAACTGGACCATGTTTTTTCTGGATTGAAAATATTGTTTTTCGCCTCCTTAAAAATGCTGAAGCCAAACAAGTTTTGTAAATAGTTTATTAATGAAATATTTCAGCTGAAATAGCTACTCCTGTTTGTATCACTACTACTAGTTACTTAATTGGCATTCTACAGTAGCCTCAAACTCCTATTTATTATCCTATCCAATATTGGGCAATGATTTCCTTTTTTCCCCACTTTGGGCTCTATCCCTCTCCAAGATGATCCGGGGCACCCTATGCAATAAAACAGAGAATTCATGAGAATCGTGCCTAGCAATACTTTATGCTGTAATGTTCTGTCTACATGCATTTTATGTCAACTGGAAGTGTGTGAAAGGGAAAATTTTATTGCAATTTTTATTGCAATTTTCTCAACAGAAATACAGGATTTCTTCACTTCTTAATCTAGTCCCCAAAGATATTAAAATTTACCATTAAAGTTCTGCCAGATGATCTGTAAAAGTTCCTTTCACTACTTGCAAAGTAATTGTTTTATTCATTTATGTATCCAAATGAATATAAGACTGAGATTAACTGGTTTTACTCAGAAAACAATGAGTTAGTTAGCATCTCATACAGATAATCATTCCTTAATGTTAAGTTTAATGGAGCAAAATATTGAGAATATAGAATACAATTAAGATAATCATTCCTTTGTCTTCCTGTCATTTTCTGCAACGTTCTATACAATTTCATTACTATAAAAGCTAAGCAATGCACATTTGGCTGGGCAACACTTCAGAAATAATCTGGAAAAAATGCTTTGGAGTGCATAGATGTGTGAATACAGCCACTATCTACATTTTGAAGTCCATTTGTCCTGGAGTCACACAGCCACTTAAGAAAGGGCCTGATAATTTAAATTCTTGCTTTTTTTTTTAACCTTTCTCTACTGAATTGAATTTTTAAGATAGGCATTATTTGTTTTTCTGGAGACATTCTATACTGACCTGTATACATCTTACATCTCCATACACATGTGCATAAATATTCTATTTTGCAATTATATTGTTACAGGGCTATTCTCAAATGTACCTTAAAGGATATTTCCGTTGTCATGGTGAATCCATGGGTAATGACCGGCTCCTCTTCAGCAGTTCGGCCTTTCCAGCAGTCCAGCTCAACACAGCGGCAGCCAGACAACAGCACTTGACGATACATCTCTACAGAAGAGTTGCCGGCTAGCTGTCCAGCTAAAAAACAAAGAAGAAACTGAATCAAGGCAATCCATTCTGGGCTAATGGACCTACGATACATTGTCTTAAAAATATAAAAGTCTGCATCACCTATTTTTCCTAGTGGCAAAAGACAAACTGATAAATAGATAAAATTAAATGCACTCTTCTAAGGAACAAAGATAGAAAAAGACATAAGGGGCAAAATGAAATTAAAAATTAATATTCTAACTGTTTTGAATGTTTCTATTTTTTAAATGCTTAAGAACACATTTGACTACACATTTTGGTGCCTTAATAAGAAACACTACAGAGTTATACCCAGTAAACAAAGAATGAAAGGCTCTTTGTGTTATTTAATGGAATAGCAAATCTAATTTCTGAAAAGATGCGCTCATGCCATTAAAAGATCAGGCAAGATGACTGCAATAGAATAATCTCTTTAAAAAAAAAATGTTATCAAGTCTACATAGTTTGAAAAAGGCTGCAATCCCTTCTAACTCCTCAGAGAAGTTAATCAGACCTTCAAATCTTTCCTCATCCCCTGGAATTTTATATGCAACTATTTAAGCTTAATTTAAGTGGGACATGGTGGCTCAGTGGCTATGACACTGAGCTTGTCAATCAGAAAGGTTGATAGTTTGGCGGTTTGAACCCCTAGTATTGCATAACGGAGTGAGCTCCCGTTACTTGTCCCAGTTTCGGCCAACCTAGCAGTTTGAAAGCATGTAAAAATGTAAGTAGAAAAATAGGAACCACCTTTGGTGGGAAAGTAACAGCTTTCCGTGCACCTTTGGCATTTAGTCAGGCCACATGACCACAAAGACATCTTCGGATAGTGCTGGCTCTTTGGCTTTGAAACAGAGATGAACACCCCCCCCCCCAGTCAGGAACGACTAGCACATATTTGTGAGGGGAACTTTTACCTTTACTATTTAAGCTATTTTATAATAGCCAATTGCACACCTAAATGGGCTTTACTTACCCAATCTGATACTTCTTCAGAAATTAGTGAGACAGGTTTTATGGCCTTCTTATTGAACCAATCACTGTTTAATGATAATATGTGTCCAGCCAATAAACAACTGATCAAATGAAATTTAGCTCATCCACAAATCCACAATGGTACACTTAAGGAAATAAACATCTTATTCCTATATAGTAAATATTATCTGTTACATATTTACCTTGTGTCTTCAGCTTAAACTGCAAATTTTAGTAAGACAACAAAAATACCTACAAAAAGAGCTAAACTTCTAGAATTGAGTGAATGCTACTAGCTTTATTTCCAAAAATCTGCTACAATGTCCAACTGTCAATGAATACTTCAGCTTCAACCACAACAACACAGGAGCACCCAATAGATATGAACTTATAGTAAACTGTTCCAAACCTGATTGCAGAAAATACGACTTCAGCAACAGAGGGGTCAATGCCTGAAATGCTCTACCTGACACTGTGGTTTCTTCCCCAAACCCCCAAAACTTTAACCTTAGACTGTCTGCTATTGACCTCCCCTCATTCCTAAGAGGTCTGTAGCGTGCATAAGCGCATCAACGTGCCTACCATTCCTATCTTAATATTCCCTTGTATTTGTTTTCATTTCATGTGTTCATAATCATGTTTATACTTATATCTGTTATCTAATTCATGCTTGATGAAATAAATAAAATAAAAAAATACTATCAAAGAAAAAAATTAGCTTGAGTTGTAACATTCTTGAAAGCCACTTTGAATAGTGAAGAATCAAAGTAAAGTTGCCGTCCCCCGTCCCCCCCCCCGGAATACTGTTCAGGTACCAAGCCTGACACTAGGACTTTAACCGGTTTTCCTTTTTTACAGACCAAAAGAGTCCTCAGGTATTTGATTTTGCTAAATTATAACTGTATCCATCATCAAGCAGAGTGGTGGCGTAGAAATGAAGATGCTCGCCTCCCATTCGTAAGGTTGAGAGGCAGTGACAGATCAGGGTGTAAAGAGAAAATATCAGCTGAGAATTCCATGTAGGCATCAGGAAGGGCATCTGGTCAGTAAATGCTCAGCTCCATTCAGTTGCCCTGACTCCACCCCGAATCAAGGAATTACAGGGTCGTAAAAAGAAAAAAACAACGTATCCAATCTATCAGCATTGATAATGCTGGATGGAAGGACTGAAGCTCTACTTCACTAACAACTATAGGTGAAAATATTTTCTATCGATAGGAGATAGATGGTGGAGGGGTGGGGAGTGGCAGATGAACATCAAAATCTAAACACTGAATCACTTCAGATTCAATACCAGACTCTCTGGCATTTGTTCCTTAACTTGTTCCTTTGGTCATCCAAACAGACAGAAAGGTACTTGGCTAATAGGAGACTAAAGCCTTTTCATAGGATAGCAGCTTCATTATCCATGATCAAATAACGGGAAGAGATTATGTACATCCTTTTTAGCCAAGAACGGGCAGGATCTGAAGCTGAATTAGACACAAGAGGATGCCTGCTAGCTGGGAGCTGAAATCCAAGGAAATTATTTTTAATTATTAGAAAGGATAGTACAATATGGAAACTGAAAAGCACTTATGGGAATAGTTTTGTGCCTCTAGTGCTTGCTTAGCTTTGAAGCCCAAAGAAGTCAGCAGTTATTGTCATCGGTTGAGAGATATTAGGAGGCACCAGAGGAACGAACCCAAAGGGACCTGCCAACCAATACAATACAACCCATATTGATACACTGAACCATTTCATTGCATAGCTTAGTTTTTCACACTTTCAAACATCACGTCTGTACTAATGAAATTTGGAAACATGTATACAAAATGCTTTTACTCCAGCATTGTTGAGAGAAAGAGGGAAAACCAAAATGAAACCTTTAGGGAACAGAAGATAAAACAAGAGACAGAGATTAGAGATATATTTTTTGGGGGGTGTATAAGACGCACCCCCCCTAAAAGAGGGTGAACATTTGGGTGTGTCTTATACATTGAATGTACCCCCCCCCCTTTGGCCTCTGCCTCCCAGCAATTTACCTCCTTCCAACAAATGGGGAAAAATGGGGCTTGTGGAGGTGGCAATAGGCTATGGCAATCCCTGCTGCCGGAAACAGCTGATGATTGGGAGGCCCATGCTGAAATTGAAAGTGAAACTTGCTTTTGCTGCAGGAGGCAAATTGCTGGGAGCAGAGGCAGATTTTTTTTCTTGTGCTAATCAGGCTTTTTGCTGTTTGCTGCAAGGAGGTAAGTCAATAACTATAAATGCCTAGAGAATGTTCAAATTATTAGACTTATTTTTTAAAAGACTGCTTTATTATTGTTCTAGACAACTTAACAAAATGAAGCTTTTTAAAATAAACGCTTGATCTGAAGAGGCNTGTGATGCCCCTAAGATCAGCAGGACATGCTCTTCTTTATCACTGTTCCTTCAGAACAGTTTAGGTCCAAAAGGACCATCCAGAAACAGAGATATAGACAGCAATCCTGGAGACCCAAGATTGCAAGTCGTGTTGTTGCGATGTCAAGCCTCGCCCAACTCAATCCCAGTGCTTTTGATTGAATGATTTGAGTGATCAAAATGCCCACACAAAAATGCATTTCTATAAAATTTGCATGTACAGAGGAAAATCAACCTTATTCATAATAATTAACAATCATGCTGCTCCTGTTGAAAAACTATTTTTAAAAGGTAATACTGTGTTAATTATATTCTCATATTGCTTCCTTGAATCCAGTGTGGCTTATGCGTTTCACAAAAGAAATAAAGAATGTAAAAATAACTGGCACACACTTTCCCCCTTGCAGAGTTAGGAGTTCTCTGTCAGTAACAGAAATAATATAGAGAAAATATGGATCTCCAGACAGGCTGCTTCCTTTCAATAGGGAGGGATTTATTTTTATGTGGGAGCAGTAAAATGTAAAACTTCCTTGAATACAGTCTCAAAAATATATATCAAGGAAAAGCTTCTGAATTTGAACATTGATTTGTAAGATGCCCCCAATGATCAGTAAATAAAAGAAGATTAAAAAGCTTTCAGACATTACTTTGTTAAATCTATGGTAAGGCTAGGAGTTCCAGCTTTTATTTGTCATAATTAGTATATTTCTTATGAGCTTGTAAGGTAAAGGAAACCCAGCTTCTTGTCCATCATTAATGAAGAAAGTTTACTACATGACTTTGAGTCTTTCATTCTCTTAGCCCAACCACTTCACGGGGATGTGGCAATGCTGATAAATATGTCTAGGTATCAGCATGTATAAAAAAATCTTGACAGAGTTGAACAATGGGCCCTACGCAACAAAATGAAGATCTTATACTTAGGCAAGGGAAATCAAATGCATAGGTATAGAATAGGTGATATCTAGCTCAACAGCAGTAAATGTGAAAGGGTCACTAAGAATCCTATTGGACAGCCATTTACATATGAGATTGCAGTGTGTGTTGCATGTGCCAAAAGAGCCAATGCAGTCCTAAGCTGCATCAGTAGAGAAATAATATCAAGATCTTATGAAGTATTAGACCACACTTGGAATACTGCATTCTGGTCTGGCCACAATACAAAAAAGATGTCGGAATTCTAGAAAGAGTGCAAACAAAGATGATTAGGGGCCTGGAGGTTAAATCATGTGATGAACAATTGCTGATCAACAATTATTAATGAAGAATACTCAGGAAATGTGTATGCCTACTCTAATGAAGAAAAGGACAAGGGGTGACATGATTGTAGTCTTCCAATGTTTCAGAGGCTGTCACAAAGAAGAGGAGGACAATATATTCTCCAAAGCATCTGAGGCAAGACAAGAAGCATCCAATGGAAACTTATCAAAGAGAGATCCAATCAAGATCTGTTCTGACCCCCCCTTCNTCTGAAATGTAACACCATAGTGTATATCGTTAGTACTGTTTTCTGTTTGTTGCAAGGAGGAAAATTGCTGGGAGGCAGAGGCAGATTTCCCCCCCCCCTTGTTTTCCTCCTCAAAAGCTAGGTGCGTCTTATACTTAGGAGTGTCTTATACTCCAAGAAATACGGTACTTCTCTGCTTTCC